CCCCTCCTCTCTCTCTCTCTCTCTCTCCTTCCATCCCTGTTACAACGCGTGCGAATTCTTTTTCTTTCCCTTCTTTCTTCTTCTTCTTTCTTCTCTCTCGAGGAAAAGGAGCGGAGAGGAGTGAGGAGTGAGAAGCGCGAGTGAACCGGGTGTCGTTGTTGGGTGATATTGCAGGGGCAAGAAGCGGTGGGAAGAGGAGGACGACGGGAGGAAGAAACGTGGAGGCGGATGGAAGAAGGAAGGATGACGGAGGAGCGAGGTTCGATGGGAAGGAGGCGCGTGTGCGATCTCTGGTAACGGGCCGTCGTCACCAGGAGGAGGAGGAGGAGGAGGAGGAGGAGGAGGAGGAGGACGATAACGAAGACGACGAAGACGACGAGGACGACGGCGACGAGGAAGGGCGAAAGGAGCGGCGCGTCCACGAGCAGGAGCGCGATAAATAAAGGGGGGAGTGATTGCGACGTGGGTGGTGGGGAGACGAGTTGGTGGTGGAGGAGGAGGAGGTGGAAGAGTTGGAAGCGGTGTCGAGGAGGATGCAGCAACAGCCACAGTCTGGCGAACAGTCCGGGGCGCCGAACGGGGTTGCAGGTGGCGGCCAATTGCCGCAAACAGGTGGTGGCGTAAGCTCGTCCCAGGCTGGAGCGACGGGTACGGCCACGGCGGGGTCGAATCGAGCCCAGGTGAACGGCGGGAGATTCGACTTCGACGATGGCGGCACCTACTGCGGCGGCTGGGAGGACGGGAAGGCTCACGGGCACGGGGTGTGCACCGGGCCCAAGGGCCAAGGCGCGTACTCGGGAAGCTGGCACTACGGGTTCGAGGTCTCCGGTGTCTACACCTGGCCTAGGTGAGATCAAACTTTCACGCTCACTCCCAATCGAAAGCTCTTTTCCCTTCGATCCATTTTTCAATTTTTTCGTTTCGTCTGTTCGAACGAGAGCTGCAAAAACAAGATTCGTGATCCTTCTCGACGGATCGAGCGAGCTTTTCCCTTCTCCTTCGAGAAATGCAATCGGTTCCGAAGAAGAGGAAGAGATGGGAGGAGGCGCGATTCTGAAACGGCGTCAATTCGAGATGAACGGGAGACCTTGACACGTAGACGCAGGTGGGGAAGGGCGGGAGTCCTGAAAGTGGGCCACCGAGTGCAAGGACAACGAGTCCGGGTCACTGGGAGCCGTTTAGGACCTAGTTCACGGACGCCCAAATTTCCTAGCCAGGACGAGAGGAAAGGGGGATGATAATCCGATCGAATTCCCTTCCCTCCTCTCCGAACGATCCCCCCTTCGGGGATGATACTTTTAATCGGAATTGGATCTCGTCCAAGGAAAGTTTTACCCTCTTCCTTTTCTATCCCAAGAACGAAAATGTATTTCTGCGAATATTCTGAATATAGTATATTTTAAATATCGTTGAGGAAATTTTTCATGCAAGTTTTTTCATTATCATCAGGGTGGTGCGCGATAAAACGTTTCTTTTAGAAATTCGTTAGTTATTATTCGCGGATGAGAAATAATAGAAACGAGTTTGTATTTTATTATATATATATATATATATCTCTCCTTTCTACCGGATATAGCGCCAACTATATTTGATCCGTCGTCGATCGTTCCGGAAGAAATTCTGTCACGCAGCTTTAAATAGTCCAGTGCAACGAGAGCTCGTAAATATAAGTGTTATTAACATCGGCTGACACGCGCTCGTTTCAACGTATAGGGGAATTGACCCACATTTTTATGTATTTTTAGTACCATCTTCATCAATGGGAACGTGAGATTAGGACGAAACGTCGCCAACTCTTTGTCACGAGCGTTCACTTTCTTTCCCTCGCGTGAAACTTTTTTTCAAAATTTCAAATTTCTTCGTCGAAAATCAATTCTTCTTATCTGTGCGTCACTGTGATATTTAGAGAATTAGATAGGTCGCTGCGAGGACGAATCGTTCGGAAATAATCTCTGAATTAGGGAGAGATTTTAGGTAAGATTCGGATATAATAGGTCATGTGGATGCATCGATGCTTCGGATTGTCCAAGAATATCGATATATTGCCAGTGCGCGTCGAATGTTATTAGGACAACTATCCCAAACATCCCAACTGTGTCTGCCCATCTGTGTGCACTTGATATACATGATTAGAGATGTGCATCTCCGCTTAACCTTCGAAAGGAGGAAATTTTCGAACGAATCGGGTCAATTCCGTTTACTTTATCCGACCCCCTTTTAACCGTTCGTTTTATTTTACCTTTCCATTTTGACGAATCGCTTAAAAATCTTTTCCTTTTAAATTTTATTTCTCCAAGATATCTACTTTCTTCCTTTTATCTCTCCTAGACGATACAATTTTATTTTATCGTGCAAATTCGTCGAATAAAATTTCTTATGTTAATGCATTCGAAAAGATGTAGGATGATCCGAGGAAGAATTTTCAATATTCGATTTTCTTTTCATATATATATATATTTTTTATTCGTTCGGTACAATTGTCGTATCATCAATACGCACAAATATTTCCAATTTCGTTGCATTTTTCATAAATGTCTTTTGCATTTATCAAAAATCGATATTCAACCATTCTCTTCGATTTTTTTGAATATATACGAATATATAGACAGAGAAAGAGAGACACACAAATTCGACAATTTAAGCAGTAGACAATGTAAGAAGACATTTATTTTTCGAAACATTAAGATTTACTTTAGAGTTCGATTCGATTGTATTATTAAAATTCTTCCCTGTCGCGAAATACGTGAAACGAAGAAGAAAATGTCTTGTGCGCGATATCGATCGAGCAACGACATTAATCATCCATGTAACAATTACACGAGAACACGTAAGTGGATTCGAGGGCAGCACGTGACAGAAAAATATTGCTCGAAAAAATGTTGCTCGATCGAGCAAAAGTCACGCACGTCGAATATCGTAATTGACTCGTAAATACCACGTTTTCACCTCTCCGTCTTAATCCCTTCGTTTATTCTTAGACCCGGCGTGTTAATCTTTTACGACACGACGACGATCACACCGAGAGAATCTCATCCGTTTTCGTCTAAAATTATTCCTTCGATCGATCGTCTTCCCTCCCTCGATTCTTTCTCCCAACTTTCTCCTTCCTCCTCATTCCTTTCCTCGAAATCGAGGAAACAAACAATTAATCCAATCCTGAAGAATTAAAATAATAATATGGATTAAAACGATTATAATAAAACCCAGAAAAGAAAAGTTTAAACCCGATACTCGTAATTCCACGATTCTTATCATGTTCGATCATTCGATAACAAGGATCGCGTTATTAATTACGATTACTCGTATTCGTCCGTGAAATCGTTTTGAAATTACACTCCACCAATTAACGGATATCAAACAATCCTCTCTTTCTTTTCTTTCCATTCTCCAAACGGTTCGATCGAAGATGGCGAGAAGATTCGGGGAAGGGGATAAAGAGCACAACAATGGAAACTCGTATGCGACCACGTATCTGGGCCGAGTATCCCGGCGTGTTTCGTTTTCGTTTTCAAAGTGGAGCAAGGTCTTCGCCGAGTCACGTTTTCCTAGGGATGAATTATGGGCCCTGGCCCCCGATGACGAGCATCCATTTCGATTATTTTTATCGTTGGTGGTTTCTCGATGCGAAACACGCAGCGCGTCGTAAACATTTCCGTAAATTTGTTTAATTTTCTCGCTCGCTTTCGAATACGATTGCTTCGAAATTTGGAAAATTTTATGGGGAGAGTTGTTTGGTCGAGGTAGATTTAGGAATTTTTATTCGAGATGAGAAACTCGCACATGATAACAATATATTGAAAATGATCGATCTAGATTTGATGCGAGATCTTTTTTACAACAATTTTCATAGTCGCTGCGACATCAACAAAGGATTGCACGATTTTTGACGCATCGCGTTAAATTTAAAAATTTCCTAAAATTCTCTCGAATTACATCGATTACAAATATCGGTGGACCAATATTTTCACGATTAATCTCTCATCAATTTATTTATTTACTTGCACTCCTTGAAAACTCGACGTGTGCTTATTCTTCGAATCTTCCTTCGGCAATTTTCAATCATCCGTGTCAACCGTGGATTAATTAAAACGGGGAGTTGTTTACAAGCGGCATCGTCGAGCCGTAATTCCTTGGTAATTCCTGTTTCCTTCCAACGATGAATCCAAGAAGAAAGAATATCTCATCGAGAGTTTTACGCCTCGATAAATATTCTAATTGTGACGTTAATAATGGCACATTGGCGATTAGATGGAACATATTCTTGAAAATGTCACGATCATCGATAAAAATGTTATAGGAACACTTTCTCCCGCGAATATTGTCCATAAACGTTTATTATTTTTTTTCGTGAAAAGAAGAGAGACGATGCTTGTTGCACGTATGAGAGAGAGAAGGAAAAAGAATTTGCTCTCAAAGGAAAATTGCTGCTTCGAAAGGATCCGTTTCTTTCCTCCCTCCTCGACGAGAGGATTCACTCGTGCGAAACGTGTGAATATTCGAAAGAAAACCGAAAAGAGCGTCCCGATAACGAGTCCTCCAGCCTCTCTTCAAAACTCTCCTCTCTCTCGATCCAAATTCCCGACCCAAGATTCCTCTCTGTAGCTTCCGATTATTATTTTTCATCAAATTTATACAGAATAGATTCGAAGAATAGATTTTCTTCCACCCTCGCTCCACCGATTCTATTATATTTTCCCCAATTTCTATCTCTATTCTCCTTCAACAAAGCACCACCTTCTTTTCTCAAAGGCAAAGTTTCAACCAGAAAGAAAGCAACAAGTATCCCACCGTTTAATCAATTAACCCGCGGTGTTAATCGGGGGGGATGTTTTGAAATCCCGCTTACGAACGATATATATGGAATTTCAGCGGATCGGTTTACGAGGGCCAGTGGCAGAATGGGAAGCGGCACGGACTCGGCATGGAGACCCGTGGACGTTGGATATACAGGGGCGAGTGGTCGCAGGGATTCAAGGGTCGATACGGCGTCAGGCAATCGACCACGTCCACGGCGAGGTACGAGGGCACGTGGTCGAGCGGTCTCCAGGATGGATACGGTTCAGAGACCTACGCCGACAGTGGTGAGTTCCGCTTTAATCCGCGTAGAGATGGAAATTTTTCGGATCCTTTCGCGCGTGGCGGGGATATAATAAAACTCGTGAATGGATCGCTCTCCATTTTTACCCTCCCTTTTCGCCTCGATCCTTTCCCGATTTTTAAAGGGTTTGGATACACGCAACGGTATATGTGTGTGCGCGTGTGTCGAAATGTATATCCTATACGGATAAGATCGCGGATCGTGTTCATTTCGATCACGATTTTTGGAAAGGAAGGAAGGAGGATTTGACGAGAGAGCTATCCTTCCCCTGTTGTCAACTCCACGGCGATCCATCGATTTTTCTTTTCTTTCGAACGAATTTTTGCGTTCAATCTCAATGTGGGTTATTAATAAGCATTTTAATTACTAATCTGTCTGCAAGAGACACGGTTCCTTTTTCGCACGAAATCGGGCACCAGGCCAATTTGGCCGCGCGGCCAACGCAACCGGCTATCGCACCCTTCTCACCCTCGTCTCTTTCGTCGGTTTAACAATCGATAACAAAAGCCTCGATCGAATCCTTTATTTTTACTCTTCTTCCGATCCTTCGCTTTCGGGATTCTCGTCTCGGGATTTTCGACGTTCTGGGAAGAAATATTCGTTGGCGTGGCCAACGATCCGTCTTCACCTTCGTAATTCCGGCTTTTGAGGGTCCTATCCCCCCCCTTCGAGTTTTAAGGTCACGTGTCCTAATTCATTCCAACAATACGTAACTGTAAACGCTGTTGCGATTTAAAATTTGACAATGAGATTTAATAACCTATTTCAGATTTTTAAAAGGCGAGATTAAAGTGGTTAGGTTAACAAAATTAATCTTCGATATCGATCGAAATTCGTTCGACGATTCTTCACCGTTTTCGAAAAGTTTGTCAACTCGTAGAAATACGAATATCCTTCTCAAATTTTCTACCTTTTTAACTCGGTGAAGGCCAATTTTCAAATTTGTAGAATACGAATTTCAAAAAAATATTGGAAACCATATTCACTCCGCAACGCCTTGTTCTCCAAATCTTGTTTGTACAGAATTTCTATTCGAATTCTATTTTTTCTCAAAAGGAGAAAAAAGGAACGATGATTCGATGATTCTTCACGAAAGAACGTTTCCAAAGAGCGAAGCGATCGAAGCCAATATCAAAATTAATTTCCCTTAATTTTCATCCCTCGACTCACACAGATACAACATCCTTCTCATCTTTTTTAACTCGATCTCTTACTTTTTAATCCTTTTAACTCGACGACCGTTGGAATCTCTCTCAAATTGAAACAATAAATAAATCCGTTTCCTCCCGTGATTTACTTAATACTCATTTTCTCGATCCATGGAAACGGACAACTCGTGAAACAACTTTTCGGCCGCGACGAGACCGCGTGTGACTCACGTTCCAACCATTTTCCCCGCCGTTTCGAGCATCCGACCCCAAAAAACGACTCTGGAAAAACGAAAAACGAAATATCGATGATCCATATAGGTGGCAATCGTCCCAGAGATAAGAAGAAAAAGAAAATCTCGGATTTCTCCCCTTTTCAAAATGTTTGAACGAAAGTGTTTTAAAAAGAATATTATCTATCCTTCTCCAGAGAAACGTATTAATATCGCGGGCAATTTGAGATTAAAAACGATGTCTATCGATGGCGACGATAAATCACACGACGATGAGTCATCACATCCATCCAACCGCGATACAAATATATCTCTCTGAAAAATATCCAACGTGGACGCGATTTACCACCACCAAGCTTCTCTGAAAATAACCGAATTATCCACAGAAACGAAAACGTGGAATGCGCACACCGGTGTCATTTGAAATAACAGAACAATGTGTATAATTTTAGGTTATGCCCGAGACGAAATCGATATCCGATCGACCGCTCCTTTCGAACAATCCTGCAATGGGATGAGCAGACTTCCCTTCCTATATATATATATATATATTCGAAAAAAATGACTCTCTCTGCCGATTCGAGCATTTTAATCATATTTAAATATCGGTGTGAGCATGATAGTTTTTAAAAAATCGGTAAAGATAAAAATACTAAAAGTATGAATATGATAGAAACGCCGTTTGATGCGATTTTTCGTGAACTTTTCTTCCTACAGCCTCTTGTGTTTCTTCTCTTGCTTTGTCTTCGATCCTCAAGGAGAAGGAGGAGGAGGAGGAGGAGGAGGATTCCTTTTTTTCGGGGGGAAATAAGAGTTAATCTCGTTGCCAAAGCGGATAAACCGAACCGAATTTGGAAGCGAATCGCGCCCCGCTACTTACTTACGACGGCGTTGCTCGAGATCGATCGATAGTAGCCGCGGGTGGGCCACCACCGCCAGGGATTATCCTGGATGAAAATATATGATACGTGATTGCGCGAGTTACGAAATCGTTACGCGAGGAAATTACGTGATCGTGCGACCTTGGATCCCTTCCTTCTAATATATTATCTCAATTTTCTTCGCGGTAGAACGAATGAAAAAAATCGTGCGTTTCCACAACGAAAGGAATCGCCTCTCGCCATCCTCGATTATTAATTTCACTCTAATCCTAGAGCTAGAAGGAATAGTAAAAGGAATAGTAAAGAGGAAGAGAGCAATGGAGGAGGAGGAGGAGGAGGAGGAGGAAGAACGACTTAAAACTTACTTCGGAAAGAGGAGGAAAAATTCTGGGAGAAAGGAGCGGGGGAGAAGCAAAACTTTCTTCGAGAAGTGAAGAAGTGAAGAACAACTGGAAGGAGATGAAAAGTAACGGTGGATTCGCAGCGAAGTGTTGAAAATGCTGGAAAAGGAGAGGAGGGAAAAGGGAAGGCGAAGAAAATGGAGGAGGGGTGGGGAGACAAAGGATGGAGGACGAAGGGGGGAGGGGGAGGGAGGAGAAAGTAGAGGCGGGTGCAGATAAGTTTTATTGCGTTTCATTTCGCCCGCTGCACTTGAGCGCTTTATTTAGAAGCCGAACGAGCCAGCTGCTCTCTGCTCGCTCCTTTTCTCTCTCTCTCTCACGCAAGCACACGGCGCCCCGTGTCAAGGAAGAAACGCGGGACGATGATGTATGCCCGGCCCTGTTAAATCGTTACTCGAGGAATGGCCGACTCGTAACTCGTCTCGTAACTCCTCTCGAGGATGGAATCACGCGACGAGGGGAACCACCTCGCTTCTCTTCGCCTCGGGAGGAGGGCGACGTGCAAAAGGGCGACACGTTATACGAAAATTACATTACGCAAGCCGGCTGACCTAGAAACGCGATCCTCTTTTTCCGGCCACGCTTTTCTTCGCTTATTTTTGTGAAACGTGTTTCCACCGATTCACAGAATTTTTGCTTCAACGAAGGAAGAGATTCTGCAATGTATTTTCTCAGCGAAAAGTTCAAAATTCTAATCTTCCCCAATCTTACTCGAATTTGAAAACGAAGAATTTCTTCGAATTTCCACTCGAGGCCTGCCAGAGGTCGCCGATGGGTTCGAAAGCGGAACGCCGATCGCCAAACTCTCGACTCGTAGAACGGGAGAGGCTGGCACGGTCGCGTCATCGTGCGTGGCACGAAAATAGCGCACGATCACTCGGCCGGAATCGGTCGCGCGATCTTCCCTCCCGATCCGTCACGAGACCTTCGTGCACGTGCTAATTAAACGGGAGCAGGCGGAATTTAAAAGACTCCGTATTCCACGCGATGCTCGATGCCACTAAGCTAAGCGCGACGATCCCACGACACGATTTCTTTTTCCTTCCTTCTCGATCTCTCCTTCGAAAGAAACGAAGCGTGTCATTTGTCCAAGTATTTTTAGATTATGGAGGAAAGGATGATTAAGTGAATCGGTCTCTAATATTTCTATGGACGATTAAAGACATAATAAGATGATTAACTTTGCCAAAAAATATCGATAAAATCCGTCATTTATGTTAAGACGCGGAATTTTCTTTCGAGTCAAGAAAAGAGAAAGTAAAAAAGTCAGTGGTGGAAAATAACTCTTTCGATCTCCTCGATCACTGATCGAGATCTGCGACGCAGCTGCGCGAACTGTTTCGGTGATTCGAAATACGCGCGTAAGAGGCCGGCCAAGTTTGGCCTCGCCGAGAACTTGTTGGAACGGAGAAGAGTCTCAGGAACAATGGATTGTTTCTATCATTCCCTCCTCTTTCTTCGACCTGGCATATCGAGACAGAGAGAGAATAATTTTAACACGAATTGTGAATGGAGAGAGTAAATTTCTCAAAAATTAGGGATGGAGCTAGTGCAAAAGATAATGTAATTCAATGCTTTATTATCTTTCTTCTTTCTTTAATCGTGAAAAACTCAAGGCTGAAACGACATTTTTTTCGTTCGTGATAAATCTTCGTCAAGATCATTGATCTTGAATTTTTCTCCTTGCCCTTTCACCAAATATAGAAAATAATATACATATTCCTTCGTTCTATTCGAGTGAAATCGGAAAGTGAAACGCGATAACCAATTCCTTGGATTTCGGTGGCTCGTCGATTACAAAATCCTTGCGTTTTGGAAAGGATGCAAGCAGCGAAACGAAGAGGAACAATTGAGGAGTGCGGCTGCTTGGACAAATGTGTGGAAGATACCGTGCAAATATCGTGGTCATACTTACAATTACTTCTTTAAACCTTCTTCGAACAACCTCCTGCCTTGAACAAAATTATTTAACAACGCAGATTGACGGAGGAAGAAAAGAACGAACTTTATATCTTTCCTCCAACGAAAAGAGGATGAGCGAATAATTATCGTTCGGGGGAAGAGGAATTTAAAAGTCGTTTCAATTTGGAATTAATTCGAGAGACCTTACACGCGGAGTGGAAACAATTTTACTCGAGATAATTCGTTTTAATCCCTCTCTCTCTCTCCCGATTACTGTGCGTCGAGATCCTTGTGTGACAAGCGTTCAACAGACGCGCGTAAATACGTAAAAGTAAAGAAAGTAATAACGATTAAAAGAAGAAGGATAGAGATAGAAAGGGAGACACCATGTTTCTCTGCTATGAGATTCTTATCCACC